AGCAGCAGGTTTCACACACACACACACACACACACATAAGGAAGTGCTTTTTTCGTACAACATGCAGTCAAGCTGTGGAACTCTTTGCCAGATGCTCTGTTCATTCCCTGTGAAGCCTCTGGCACCCGTTACTGTCAGGAGTCAGGGCTAGATGAACCCTTGGTCTGACCTAGTACGGCCATTCTTGTGTTTGTGTAAGTATTTACAATAAGTGGTTCCCTCTCTTTTTATATTGCTTATATTTATTACCAATACAACACCAAAAGTGTCCTTGCCCTCATATTAGCCTGACTTAGGACAAGTGATAAGATTTTGACAAATGGGCTGAGAGGGACCCACAAGTACTTGAACAAAGAGGAAGCATCCTTTTAAAAGCAAGTCAGTCCCAGAAGTATCTGGATCACTACTGGCTAACAATCCTACTTCAGACCTAGGTAGTAAAGGTCACAGGAAAACCCTCCTGAAAGTCATAGCATTCCTCTCTTTTTTAGAGCTAGGCAGCCTAATGCAATAGGTCAACAGGCTGGAAATCTGGTCATTTCACTTTCTTGTGACTTAACATATCAACTGGTGTTAGATATTGCAATCATTGTTCTCTCTATTTCCATGAAATTAGTTACATTTTTATATCGGAAAGTTACAGGTTATTAATCTTAACTCCGCAGGGTTCATTCATGGTCTACAGCAAGTTCCTTTTTGCAAGCTATAATAATGTGCCTTATTACTGAGTACCATGTCTTCTGTGACTTCAGCTCTGCAGCACTGGACTTTTGCCACAGAATATATCCCCTAGAAAGTGGATTCCCTAAGAGAAAGCCAACACCAAGACAGGGCTGATCAGTACTGTTTACAGCAGAGGTGGGCAAACTACGGCCCGCAGGCCGCATCCGGCCCACAGCACTGTCCTGCGCGGCCCCTGAGCTCCTGTTGTCTCCCCTCCCCCGCAGCCACGCCACCGCATGGGCAGCGCTCTGGGCGGCGCGCTCATGCAGGGCAGCGCGTCTGGCTCCGGCATGACTCCCAGACATGCTGCTGAGTGGCATGGTAAGGGGGCTGGGGTGTTGGATAAGGGGCAGGGGGTCCTGGGGGGCAGTCAGGGAGCAGGGGGAAGCTGGATAGGGGGTGGGGTCCTGGGGGGCAGTTGGATAGGGCAGAGGTTCTTGGGGGAGTAGATGGGGGCGGTTAGGGATGGGGGTCCTGGGAGGGGGTGGTTAGGGGACAAGGAGCGGGGGGGTTGGATGGGTGGGAAGTGGGAGGGAGCGAATAGGGCACAGGAGCCAGGCTGTTTGGGGAGGCACAGCCTTCCCTACCTGGCCCTCCACACAGTTGCGCAGCCCTGTGTGGCCCTTGGGCCAAAAAGTTTGCCCACCCCTGGTTTACACACTGACTAACATGTTGGTAAAGTCATGATCAAAAGAATCAATACCTGCTGCCACAAGTGCCAATGTCTGCCACCACTATAGCTGCTAGACTTTCTGTCCCTGTGTCCATATGGGATGGAAACTTCCCACCACCGTGGTCTATGAAGTGAGGGAGAGAAAGCAATACAGAAACACCATCCAGGGAGCAGATTTAGGTGGGAAAAAGGTGGTGGTCTTCCAACCATATCAGAAAAGTCACATTATTACCATGGTTACTACTCAAGGTTCAGTTTTCCCAAAATGGGGATCCAGAAAATCCATGGGGTTTGATGGTCTTCTCCTGACTAGACTCAGATGCCCCACCAGACTTCATGCACTTGACTTCCATTTTGGCCCTGAGTTGCCTTACGCACAGTTTCAGAACACCAGGGAAGTACCAGAAGCCTGGAAGAAAGTGAATGCTGTGCCAATATTTAAAAAGGGTAAACAGGATGACCTGGGTAATTATAGGCCTGTCAGTCTGACATCGATCCCTGGCAAGATAATAGAGCAGCTGATATGGGACTCAATTAATAAAGAACTAAAGGAGGGTAATAAAATGAATGCCAGTCAAAATAGGTTTGTTGAAAATAGATCCAGTGAAACTTTGATTTCTTTGGATGAGATTAAAAGTTCAGTTGATAAAGTTAATGGTATGATGTAAAATACTTACACCTCTGTAAGACATTTGCACTATTATTGCACAACACTATGATTAAAAAACTGGAAAGATATAAAATTAACATGGTACACATTAAATGGATTAAAAGCTGGCTAACTGCTAGGGCTCAAAAGGGAATTGTAAAGAGGGAATCATCAACTAGGTGCATTTTCAGTGGGGTCTTATAGGGATGGGTTATATGACCTATAATATTTATCAATGACATGGAAGAAAACATAAATCACTACTAAAGTTTGCAGATGACACAATTGGAGAAACAAATAATGAAGAGGGAAAGTCATTAATACAGAGGAATCTGGATTGCAGGGTAAACTGGATCCAAGCAAACAGCCATTTTAATATAGGTAAACATATACATCTAAGAACAAAGAATGTAGAGCCTACTCAGAGCATGGGGGACACTATCCTGGGAAGCAGTGACCCTGAAAACTGTTTGGGGATTGTGGTAAATATTCACCTGAACATGAGCTTCCTGTTGAATCCTGAATCAAAAGAGCTAATCCTTGGATGCATAAACAGGGGAATCTCAAGTAGGAGTAGAGAAGCTATTTTACCCCTCTATTTGTCACTTTTGTGATCACTGCTGGAATACTCTGTCCAGGTCTGGTGTCCACAGTTAGGGTTGCGAGAAGACTTCTAAGAAAGATTACAGGATTAGAAAACATGTTTTATAGTGACAGAAGGAGCTCACTCTATTTAGCTTAACAAAGAGGACAGTAAGGGATGACTTGATTACAGTATGTAAGTATATCCAGGGGAACAAATATTTGATAATGGACTCTTGAATCTAGCTCACTCATTGAGCAGAAGTTGAAGCTAGATAAACTGAGATCTACTATTTTAACAGTGAGGGTTAACAACTCCATGAAATATAGGCTCTAGTTTGGAGAGATTTGATCGTATATTTTATATAGCAGGTCAGACTAAATGATCACAGTGGTCGCATCTAGCCTTGGAATCTATTTCTGCAGGGTCCAATTCTCGGGCAGTAAGTGACATATCATCTTCCAGGAAGGATATTAGGGGATTTCTTCTCCAGAAGCTAGAGGAAAGGGGGGGGGGAAGCCAAAGAATAATTTCCTCACTCCTCTTATACTTAAGAGCCCTGAACCCCACTTTGTGATGCAAGCACAACTTGCACCCCTTCTATATGATTCTTCTCTACTTCTGTGCAATGCTCCTGGATTTCTCTGTCACTCCACCCACTGAAATTCTTCAAGTTGAAATGCACAGTACTAGTCACAATTTATTGCCAGGCATTTCATACCACCTCACAATTTTCAGACTTAAGCATAGGGTTTTGCTGCAGGATAGCTCCAGTGCTCCACAGACTCCAGAGAACCCTGTCAATATTTCAGTGACTAATAGAAATAATGAGCAACAACAACTTTTTTAATACATGACTGAGTTAGTGCTCTTTACACAGAAATATACAGATTGTGCGCCTGTCAAGCATACCTTGTAATCCAACATTCACCCTATGCACAATCAGGCATAAATCATGGGCCTTGAGATTTTGAAGGTCCTGTTTGATCCGGGTGGGGAGGGGAGGCTTGCAACTCTTTTCATGTAATTTAAATTTAAATACCCACCCTCCTCAGCTATGGGGAGGAATTTCTAATAACCAGCAAAGCAAGGGCAGACTGGCACACTGTATGCTCTATGCACGGAGCCCTATTTAAAGTCTCTACCCCCCTTCCACATTCCTGCCTGAGCAAAACTTGAACCAAGAATGTTTGACTCAGGTTGGAGGTTTGTGGTATTTCAAAGGCTTACATCGTAGGCAAAGCAGGTTTGCTCACGTTTTGGGTGGCTGGCATAAACATACACGAAGGACAACATGCTTTAGGAGCAGCTTCTCGCCCCATTTGGACCCCCCCCCCCAATCAGGCTAACAAAGAGGGGGTGGGCTAGGGAGAGGAGCCTCCGGGAAGGTGACTGACACCACGGGCGCACTTCATTCCGGGGAGGTGCAGAAGGGGACTGAAACGAAAGCCCACACTTTGGGGCCCGGCCCCCGCAGGCTCCCCGCGCTCACCCCAGCGATGGATCGGGCCCCTTTATTACTGGAACGCGCCTGAGATGCTGGCTCCCGGCTTCTCGCCGCGGCCCCGGCGGCCTTGGCCAAGCCAGCGGTGCCTCCGCCAACGCCGCTGCGGGCCCGCGGGGTTTGGGCTGCCGCCCCAGCCCAGCCTGTCGGCCCCCTGGAGGCCGGTGGGGCGCAGAGCTCGGCGGTGGGGTGGATTCTCCCTGGCTCCCAGGTGGCGCGGCTCCGCAGCTAACGCCATGCAAGTGCTCGGCCTGCTGCGCCAGGCTGCTTACGGACCAGCCTCGCCAGCGTCCACCGCCAGCACCAGCCAGGGGCTGCACGGGGCCCGCCCGGCCGGGCCCGCTGCCGCCTCCAGCACGGGGAGGCAAGAAGCGCCAGCCGCCCCCGGCTTCTGCGGCCAGGAGCGGAGCCGGGCGGAGCAGATCAGGAGCCGGACGCTTTACCTGCCCCGGCCGGCTCTGGAATTGCTCCCACTAATAAGGCGTCGGGAAGAGCAGCTTTCTGTGCCAAGTAACCCTCTTCTCCCCCCGCCTCCTCCCACCCTCCTCCCGGTCTCCTCTCCGGCGAAGCCAGCTCGCAGCTGCTGCTCCCCGGGAACCCATCATGAAGGAGGCGACGAGAAAGAGCCCAGGAAACAACGGCTACTTCTGGCCTTTAGCACCTTCCTTGTGGCCCGGAGCCGCTGGGTTGAGGTGAGGGCGCTGTGGGCCGAGTCCGGGAGGAACGGAGCCTAGAGATCCAGGGTTTTATCCTGCGCCTCCTCCGGCTTTGTTTAAACTGGAGCTGGGAGAGATTTCCCCCTCCCCCCGCTCAGATCCCGTGCACATGTTGTACACCCGCTCACATCTCAGCTGAAAGCCACCAGAGAGAGAGCGAGAGAGAGAGCTGGAGGAGGTGGCTCGGGAGGGAGCTGTTCATCCCCCTTGATCACCCCCTCGCCAGTCCCTCCTGCACACTTAGAGCTTTGTACCTTTGCGCATTTTTTATTTAATAAATTGGTGAGCTCATTATGTTTTTCTTTCTTCTCTGCTTGATCAGTCCCAGGAGAAGAATGGTAACACGAACCGCATCAGAGTGTGAAAATATTGTCCGGGAGGGAGAGAGACCGAGCGGTGGTGAATGCACTTTGCAATACGCTAACAGTGCCTAGAAGGGGGGAGGGTAAGTCTCAGACTAGTTGGTATTTTGCTGGTAATGATGTCAGCTGTCTCCTTCAAGGGCTCTTTTCCCTCTGTCACGAAGTGCAGTTGAGACTTGAGGGCGAGGAGGGGAAACGGAGGCCGTCTCCGGAGGGGTGTGTGTTTGGTTCAAGGAGTTCAGAGCTCGCCTTTCAAACGGGAGTTCCTGTTCCCTCCTTCGGTCCCAGCTGGAGCTGCACCTTGTAGCTCCGGATTTCTTTCGTGGTGGGAAGCAGCTGTTCTGATGGGGGAGATGATCTCCTCCTGCTAGAGGCAGAGGTAGCATTTCATCTCGCAAAGGAAGAGCTTGCAAATTGCTCCCTGGCAGTCCCGCTCTGATCAGTGGGTTGCGGAATTGCGTGCTTTGACCAGCGCGTGGCCCCCACTTCCCACCCAATTTCCCGTAAACCATTTATTGTCGTATCGATTTCTCAATAACTTCTGATCAGTCTATCTGCCGATCATATTTACTCTCTTGTTTTATAATAACGTGGATCGATCATGTGCTTCACAGTTTCCTCGGGAAAGCCTCAGCCGATGGGCGATGATTTCAGTCGCATTTGTGGGGGAATTAAGTGAATCTGTGTTTGCGTTTGTTCCGCAGGTTACAAACTCGCCCTGTGAACTGCGTGGATTGGTGGTGACTCGAGGCTTGTAACAAAAGTTTCTTCTAACCGACTCCCAGTTTCGGGGTGACGGGGAGAGACAGAGGGGAAAGGAAACTGGCCCCGAGTGCAAGGAATAGCTCCTCTTCTTCTATATATGCTGCCATTTGCCATGAAGAGAAAACAGAAGAGATTTTTGCAAATGACGTTGTTGTTCATGGTGGCTTTAATTTTCCTGCCTAATATTGGCCTGTGGTCTTTGTACAAGGATAAGCACCTGGTGAAATCCCCAGAGCCAGGAGAGCAGCAGGTGAGTGAGGTGTGTGTGTGTGTGTGGGGGGGGGGAGTTATAGTTTTGTTTGCTAAGTAACCAACCATTAAGATTTAAAAGCATCATTTAGCCTGATCCGTGGCTGCTATAAAAAGCTAGTTTGCACTTAATGATGCTCATGTGTCATTTTTAACTTGAGATTGCTTTGAATGCCAAATTATATTTAATAGCTTGATGACGTCTTTGATATCCCAAATGGTAAATATAATGTGGAGAAAAGGAAAGCATGCATTATACAAAAAACTTTAGCGAGGATATTGTAGAAGGCAAATTAATCTATGGATTTAAGTTTCTCAGAAGAACACTTGCATGAATGGTTACAAAATCTGACTATGTAATGTTAAAGAGCTGGGACCAAATGCACACTCTGATTTAGACAGGCACAGTCCAGTGGCTGTATCCTGGCTAAATTTGCCCCCCCAAACTCTGTAATATTCACTAGGGGGAAACAAAAAGTGCAGACATTATCAGAACTTCCATCTAGCCAGCATGCAGTCAATGTTGCCTCCTAGAAGGAAATACAGCAGTGTGTCTATTAAAATTGCTCATCATCCAATCAAGTTAACTGTCATTTGTTCTTCTCCTGCTAGGAACTGCTTTTACTTTTTCTACTAGAAACTTAAAGAAGTGACTGTCAGTCTTCTCCTTTCTACTGAATGTTGTTAATATGGCCTGCTACAACTGTAGATAATGTATACAGAGATCAGGCTGTGTGTTTGATGTCATAATATGCACTTAAATATTTCAAAAGTACAGTCCTTCAGTCATAGTTATTATTAGCAGCAGTTGTTATAACCTGTTTTTTCTTAATATGATTCAGCTCATTAGATTTATATATTGCTCATAAATCTCAATAAGACTTTCATTAAATTATATATATTGAGAGTTGTTGTAATTCAATATTTTTAATCACTAACTGGTCTTAAATTCCATAATTACTTCTTTTGCATAACACTGCTGTGTTTCCACTGTGTAATCTTTGGTATGCTTTAAGGCTGGTTATTTTTTAAAAAAAGTTTAGTTTGATCTTTTAGCTTGTTTACCATTTCCACAGCGTTGATATGAGTTTATTAGATAGCATCATGTATCATCTTAGTATATTAATATTCTTAATTTCAAGGGTCATCACCCATATACATCGTACAATTTGCACATATTGAATGTATTTGTCATCCTATTCAGTTGAACAATGACATATGTCACTAACAATCAAAGAGTTTTGCTACTACTAAAGTTTACTCTTCACATTACCATACCTATTATGTATAGTTGTAAAATGTTGTGAATTAAGATACTGCTTTATAATAATAGGAAATCAATGTCAGTTCATCTATTTGCAGAATCCTTTGTCTTTACAGATTTTTTAAAATACATTGGATCTCAGATTATTAGGGGCTAGAAATATTTTTTTCGAAAGAAAGTCTAAAATATTGATTGGTGGCTATCAGTAGTGTACAAGGGGGAAAAAAAACCACTTTAAAATCTTTTCAGTTTCTTCTTCAGCTGGTGATTTAAGGAAGGTAAGGTGTTCTATGCGAAATCAACCTTTCAATGACTGACGCACAAAAACAGTTTCTGTTTTCTAAAAAATCATGGCTAGAAATATATTTTCCAGTTTTAGAGATTACAGCCTAAGTAGAGCAACATGTATAAGAAAAAAAAGGAAACAATTAAAAAAACCAAATACTACAAGAGTGAACTTGCCACCTCTGAGAGATCAGCTGGTGGAATGTGTGAAGAGCTAATGAGTCTTATTAATAAGATTTTAGCAACTTTAAAATTGAGTAAGTTTTATTTCTAATGCTAATTGAACAGCAATGTGACTGCGGGAAACGAACGGTAAAAACAATAAAACCTGGCAATGAAACTTTCAGCCCTGACTTCAACTTTACAAAACGATCTGGATCTGTTCAGTTGCCTACAGTCCAATATCACTATCATAAGTGAGGTTCATTGTTGAAGATGTCATAACAAATGAGAACGTCAGGTTGAAGTGGAGGTGAGTAATGTTACTTCCGTACATTTAACTCGTCCAGTTGATGTCATGATTTAATGTATGCTATATTATAGACAAAGGTGTACAAAAGGAACAAAGGATTCAGATAGTTTTGAATCAAACAACTTAAATACTTACAATCTTCTTTTTTGCTTTATATTTTAAGGTAATCTCAGGGAAGAGAATTGGTAAAACAATGTTAACAATCTCTAACAAAAACAATTTTTCTAATAACTGTACAAAGAGAATAACTGTTTAGCCGCGAAACTATATTTCTTACAGACTTTTTATATTAACATTCTAAACTGATCAATAATGAATGCTGCAAGTTAATTTTAAGCCTAATTAAGTACGATATCGAAAAAGTTAGCTGTGATGTATTTTAGTTGTGATGTCAGAGAAAGCATGTATAACTTGGAAAAATTAGTCTGTTACTGTACAACATGGATATGATTGGGAAGAGGGGGAAAGAAGAGAGAATTATGACCTTAAAATAATAGGTGAACAATTGGCTGAATCAGGAGTGACGCTTGCTGTCATGAATAAAACATGTGTCCAACATTTTTATAGTATATTTTGACATTGTCTGTACTAGTTATAGAGCTGATATCTATCTTTGTTAAAGTAGGCTAACATTATGTTGAATAAGCATCAGCTGTCCTTCACTGGAGGGTACGGTATAGTTTTATGGCACTTTGACTCTATATATTGCATAAAAATTACCAGTGAATTTTTAAAGAAGATATCTTCCAACTTACTTGGTGAATAAAGGTTCTGTCAACCATTTTTACCTTACGAATCTGCTAGTTACAGAATAGGATGCGAGGAATGATAGTGGGCTGACTGAAGCATTGACATCATGACAATAGCAGGCAACAAAACTACTCAAAATGGATCACATGGTTAAATGAGGTGTCTGTTTTTATGAATATATAGGAAAGAGGCCCTGCTGTATGGTATGGTTGCATGTGGGGAAAATCTGTGGTATTTATATACCTGAGCTGATAGACTATGTTACAGTGAAATGATGATTTTACAGTTCCTAATAATAATTAATAGAATTTCAGTAGACCATCCTTAAACTTATTCAGATCACATTGTGAAAGTCTTGTATCATGGAAGTCTTGCGTAGCTATTGTTAACATCAAAGCTTGCTTTTATGAGAGGGAAATGGAAAATCAGGTTGGAAATACGATACTGGCAGCACTGTTTCGGAGTATATCATCACTTTAGTCATTGTGCATTAATTTTATATGCAGTACTAATCCTTGAGTGTTTCATACAGTTTTATTTCTCTGGTCTCTTGTAGTTTTCTGGAGTGATTATTTACATTTTGGTAGCTTTATCACTCTGCTGATAAACACAAACCGATCAATTATCATCACAAGTATTTAAACAGAGACTCCAAAGGCACAGTGGCACAGACCAAGGGTTCTAAAATGACAGGAAAGAATATTAAATTCTCCCTAAAAATCCTGTTTAACAATTAAATGGCAATTAAGAAACCCTAAATATAAATCTCAAAAATGAAACTGAATTTCTCTTTTACTCTCTATAAATCAGTCTTCCTTTTTATACCATGGAAACAAGATACATGTAATAGACCAGGTTGTCTCTCTTTTTTTTTTTAATGGCCTTGTTAATTCTTTAGCACATCATGGTGTATTTGAGTTCTATTTACAGTTTTTACAGTTGGCGTTACTTTATTGTAACTCATTCATTCTGTTCCTTTGTATTGTTTGTCACTGAAATATTCATATACATTATTTTAAGTGTCTTGTCTGATCTCTTCTTATCACCTGCCCAAGGAAAGGAGTTTGGATATTAAACTACTCTGATTCACTGTTTTAATTTCACTTCTCATTTTCTCTTATTGGAGTGCTTGTTGTTGCTTACTCCTGTAGCCACTATGATATAGTGCTAATACAGAGCTATTTAATTTGGATGGTGTGACACCCTGACACCCCAGTATTCACCTCTGCCATGAAATTAGTGTATGTTTTATAGAAAGTATAGCTTGTGAGGTATCATTCTAAAAGTCTTGATCTGCTAGACATTAATATCTCGTTGCATTATATGTGTTATTGTTGTGTGTGAAGTTATGAAGTTTGGCTATGTATGTGTTACTGAAACATGTGAGGTTGAAAACACCCACAAGCAGCCTTTCAGGTACAACAGTGAAAAGGCCAAACAATGTTAATGGCTTATTGAGGAAATGCACACAGGCACAAGGATTACCCCAGGAACTGTGTACAATAGAGACCTCTCAGAGATAGCACTACACAATGGGAACCGTTTGACCCAGTTCAGCAAAAGAGCTTTCCAGCAAGTGTGAAGAAGATATAAAAGGGGGATAATGCGATCATGAGGCTACCTCACTGTCCTTGCAACAACACACCTGGAAACACCCTGGAAAGTGATGGTCTCAGACTAGAAGGATCTTTAGCCTATGAAAACCTGGGAAACCAAAGGCAATTTGTGCCTTAAGACTCTGCCAGTCTGTTTATCACTCAGGGTGAGAATTTGTTAATTTATAACCTACCTATCTAGTGTGTTAAACTCAGTTTGCAGTTTTTGTTTATCTACTAAAATAGTCTGCTTTGATCTGTTTGCTATTCCTTATAATCACTGAAAATCTATCCTTTGTAGTTAATAAACTTTTTTGGTTCTCTCTAAACTAGTTTGTGAAATTCATAACTGGAGGCAAAAAGCTGTGCATATCTTCGTCCACACTGAGGGAAGGAGTGAATTTCATGAGCTTACGCTGCACAGTTTTCTGTGCAGAGCAAGACAATACAATTTTGGGTTTGTACCACAGAGGGGGAGGGCACTTGAGTGCTGGGCAATCCCTTAGTTGATTCTTCCCATGCAGAGCTGATTTCAGTGTCTGTGTCATTCTGCAGATGGGTGTGTCCCTACTTGCTTGTGTGCTAGAGGAGGCTTGAGGGCCTGGCAAAGCACAGGGTGAGGGACCCCAGGCTGGTGGAACGGG